GGGGGGGGCAAAATTCTCTGCACTGTGGCACTCTTCCGTAAGAAGCAAGGCGCAAAAATTTCTTCTCATTAATAGGGACGTTACCTAATTAGCAGGCCCCATGTGCGTTTACCAGACCGTGGTTGCAGACACGCTGCAATCCTACGTGACTCCAGTGTGGGTTTAAAGGGTAACCCTGCTCTCCCCCACATCCATCACCTTCCGTGTCGACACTGGTGCTCACAGAGCTTCGCCGCGAGCCAGCTGGGGAACCCTCACCCCGTCCTGCAGGATCAGCTTTCACCTGGTTCGCAGGGAGCTGCTCACACCACCGCTGGGGCAAGAAAGGAGAATCCAGTCCTCTCGCTTTCAAAAATAGCCCAAATTCCTTTGCTAAAAATGACTGCCTAGCTAAAATATTTATCCTCTTTCTAGGTCCACTCCCCTCGCTGACCAGACGCGCCTCACAGCCACGGCCCCGTACGGTTTCGGTACTGACCGGCACAGCCGTACCCACAGAGGAACAGACGGCGAGTTTCTCTGCACACCGGGTTTCTTTCGAGTAACTACACTTTGGCACGTTCCAGAAGAGTGCCTTGGCCTGGTTTAGATTAGTTAGCTTTGAAAAAGGATTAAGCTAAATTGGAACAAGCATTCCTATCCCAGAATAAGACTGATCCAACAGCAAGTGCAGTAGGTATTTTGGAATAACTTCACACCTCACTCTAATCCAAATTAGCTTTAAAATTCTGACACGATTCCATCACAGATGTGCTCAGTGTCTTTTTCTCAATGTAGCTGTTAATTTCTTGCCAAACACATTTAGCCCGGAGAAGGCCAGAGAGGAGTAACTCCCAACAAGACCTACACAGCACTGACCTAGCTACAGTATGTGAAACTCAGCACCGAGCGTGTTGTAAGGGAGCACTTTGCAATTATGATCTAATCAAAAGGGCCTCTTATTTTTAGAGCAGCAGTCCAGCAGGAACTGATGGTTATCGAGCCACACAACAGCAGCATCCACTCCCCGGCACAAAGGACCCTCCCAGCCTTTGTGTCGGAGACAGGAAGCGGCATCCCAAGGTGAGAAATCAGAGGTCGGAAGGGTAGAGAATGGAGGAGTTTGGGGGAGCAGCAAGGGACAGACAGAAGGAGGCTGCAGAGAAGATCTGCTATTTCTTGCCAGCTTTCAGTGTAATTAGATAAACCCCTGGTCAACTTGAGACGACACCTTATCACACAATACACCACCGGAGCTCCGCAGATGTTACTTACTCCAGACGCTAACAGGATCAGAAAGCGGGGAAAAGAAGTACCGGATACACAAAAAGGCTATTCTGGGTTATAACAGCAGATAAATCTGAAGGCAGTTGACCCACATGCCTCAAAACCCAAGACGGGCAATCAGGAATAAGCCAGAGAAGCTCCTGCAAGGCCGAGGGAGCTGCACAAAGCGCTCAGTAATTCCAGTGCCTTCTGCTGGGCATTCACCACCGGCTGCGGCTTAAACACGGGACACTGCACTAACCAGGCAACTTGCTTAACTCAGCCTGGCAGCTTCTTTATCATTCTACAAGCCAAAGCTTTCCATCCCTTTGATAGGTGTTATGATCCCAATAAAATTCCCAGATGCTTTTCAGCAAAATGTAAATTTCATTTTAAAATGCAGTAAATTGGACCATGACAAAGGGCCGGAAACTGCCTGGCTCTAGGTACGGTCCTGTCACCGCAGCCGTGTAGGGAACTACCACACCACAAAGCCTCCACCTGAACTCCTTCAGCAGCCACTAACAAGTCATCCTCGCTTTTTCCTGAGCAAAGGTTAAATGAACACTTTTACAAATTTCAGATTTACAGCTTCTCCTTCCTCTCCGGTGCTCCTCACCCGATGCTCAGGCGTGCTTTTCCACAGCACAGAATCAACACCAAATTCATCATTCTGGGTACGGAACAGAGGCAGCGCTGCTGTTCCATCCTATAATACTCAAACTGGGAGACAAAAGCCTTTAATTCCACGCAGGCGAGAGCTTTGCAGACCACCCCCAACTGCAGCCATTAGCCCACAGAAAAAGGGGAGCGAGGTGCTGGAGCAGCAGCTTTTCGCTGCGAACAGCCCAGACACGACTCCCAGCAGCCCAGAATAAACAGCCCTGATATCCCACACCCCCGAAGAGATCCCACGAGGTTTAAAAGACACGAAGATGGGACGTTCTAAGAAGAGCTGTTCAAGGAAAAGCAGATTATTTTTAGCCAGTATAACTTCAGTTTATTGTTGGGTACAACTGAAGCACCTCTAGCTTAAAAAAAGCTCCTTTATAAAAGGAGCTAACTTAATTACTTAAGCCAAGCTCTGCCCGGTTTTTCTCCCTCCTTTTCCTAGAAAGGGGATTTGGTTTAAGAAGAAGTAACGTAGCTCTAAAATTGAGACACACACTTCAGGTTTTGAGCAGCGGGTGTGAGCGAACAGTTAATGGCACAGCGCAGCGGGCAGCCTGCTCCAGGCTCTGGGTTGAATTTCATCGTGAATACACCGTCTCACCACGTCAAATTTCGTGGTTGTTTGAAGATTCGCAACTCAACACACAACTTTATTTTACTCCGACACAGGTACCCCACCACAAGGCTTGTTCCAGTACCGGGAACCCATTTTAAATGCGGGAGCCCCTCGCCACGGCGGCAGCCGCGGGTTGGCCCCAGGCTCCGGCTCCTTCAACCCCACGGACACAAGAGGTTTGCGGTCAGCCCGCGGGGCTCCAGGCCCACACCCCGGGGCTACGGCTGGGATCCAGCCCTCCGGTCACCGCGTCAGGACACAGCAGAAGGGCCCCGGACACGAGACGAGCACCACGATTAACTTTCTGCCTCCGTTTCCCAGCCGCGCCCTCACAACGCTGCGAGGGGCCGCGTTACCGATACCCGGGGTCGGAGTGGGCCCAGTCACGTACCCCACAGCCAGAGACCAGACCGAACCCCGAGGAACGGAAGCCCAGGCCGCCATTACCGGAGAGCGTCTACCAAGGAAAACGGGAGAGCGAGGGGAAGCCGAGAGGCCCCCCCGCAGCTGGGGGATCGCGCGGTGCCCGGTAACGGACACCCGGTACCACTCACCTCAACGCCGCGGCCGCCCTACGCGGCGCCTCCACCCGCCGCCGTTAACGGATTTCAAACAGGACCAGTCGATCTAAACGGACCAATCAAGACCTCGGGCACGCCCCCGGCGCGTACCGATTGGACGCGCCGCCAAGCGGCCAAAAGGACCCGGATGAGCTAAACCCCGCCCCGCCGAACGCTGCCCGCAAAGGCTGACGGGAAATGTAATGCCCGAGCGCACGGCACCGCCCCCCGGAGGGGAGGGGAAACGACAACTCCCACAATGCACTGCACGGGGCGAGCCCGGCCAATCGGATGAGGCGCCGCTTTGAGTGTTGTTCGGTGACGGCCTATCAGCTGCCGGTAGGCGGGTCCCCCGAGCGGGGCCGGGTGCAGGCCGCTTCGACAGCGGCAGGGAAGGCCGCGCCGCCGGGGCAGGAGCGCACCGGCCCCGGTACCGGGGGTCGATGGAGCGTCGAGCTGGCGGCTGCGAGTAAAGTAGCGGCTTCCGTCTGTCTCCCGCCCCACGGGTGTCCTCGATGCAGCACAGGGAGCCTGCCCGCGCTCCCGGAGCCCTGCCTTGCCTTCCTCCCGCTGCCGGCTGTTCTCACCGGATCGGCTCCTCCGATTGTTCAGACCCAGGGGCGGCGCCTTCCCGCCCCCCCGCCTTGCGGTGAGCACGGCCAGGCTCCCTGCTGCTGGAAGAAAGAGCCCTATAGGCCGTGCTACCTACCCCAGATACGGCGTAAAACCCCCCGCGACAGCGAGGCAGCCGGGCAGAAGGCTCTGCTAACGGGGCAGGACGCTTCCGAGGAGAGGGCCGGCCCGAGGTGCCCCAGCCGCCTTCCGCCGCCCCCGCAGCATCACTGTGCTCTATGGAAACACAAAAAAAATATATTTTTTTGTTTTTAAATCG